CTTCATCATGTAGTGTACATTGAGCAGCCAATCACAGTCCAGAACACACTGTGGCTTCAGTGTTTATTTCAGTGTCTGATGATCGGATCTGTGTGACGTGTTTGTTTACTTTTAAAAATCAGTAAAAAAATTTCCTCTGATTCTGAAGTTGTTTTATTTGTAAAGAAAAATTCTGTGGATTTTAATATTTGCGATTTCCTTCATTTCTAATAAATTCAAATTGAACAAAACAAACCTGATTCTTTATGATCACTATTATTTACAGTGTATTTTATAGAATATAATGTTGGTTTGTTCATCCGGGACGATGATCTGTCTCTCAAAGACCAGGGCCCTGAACTATGAAGCAGGATTTGTGGTTATCAGGTTAACTTCAGGTTTAATTCAGGTAACTGAAGCTTGTTCCCTTGTTATCGGGTAAATCACCATGGTAACATGCTAAACAGCTGACCTGCTCCAGGTTAAGTTGGAGATAAGAGATCAAACATTATAAAGCTCCTGTTCTGTCCTGTTCTTCCTGCATCTAGCAGCTTTAAATGTTCATTTTATTCTGGATGATTGTTCTCAGATTTTTATTAGACAACAGACGAGGAAAACCTGAGTTAACTTAACGAGTTGAGAACCAGCGTCATGTGACCACTGATCCTGACCGTTCAGACCTGGTCTAGGTCTGGATGTTGTCCGGGGGCCTGTATAATGAAGCGAGTTCAACTTACTCAGGATATCTTCCAGTTATCCAGCTGAACCTGACAAACACTCAGCCCTGCAGTCAGTCTGCAGGGCTGAGTGTTGCCTGAGAGTCAGAACTGGGGGAAACAGACCCCTGAGCTCTCTGTGTGTGGATGGACAGATGAATGGATGGAGGTGTAATTAAATCCTCGTCCCTCAGCTCCGTCTGAAAGTTTGTCTCCTCCTCCGTTTCTGAGCGACACATCACCAGCAGCCTGATGCTCTGGACTCTGACATGATTGGACGACTGCTAGTAGTCCCCCGGGCCCCGGGGCCTTCAGCCAGAAACAAAGAGGCATTGTAGGGATTCTCCTGCAGAGCCACAGAGCTCTGCAGGAGAATCTGAGAAACCAGAGTTCAAAGGTCAATTCATTCTCAATGTGCTTTTTTTGTTTGGTCCATGTCCCATATGCTACCATGGAGGAGGCTGAGTGTATGACCTATACTGCAACCAGCCACCAGGGGAAGATCCAGATGATCTGTTTTTACTCTTTGGAGCCGGTATGTGCATCTTTATTTACAGGCTGCAATCCTGATCAGAGTGTTTTCAGTTACTCAGTTATTCCTGATCTCAGATGGTCCAGGTCTCTGATGGTCCTGATCTTAGATGGTCCAGGTCTCTGATGGTCCTGATCTTAGATGGTCCAGGTCTCAGTTGGTCAAGGTCTCTGATGGTCCTGGTCTCAGATGTCCTGGTCTCTGTTGGTCCTGATCTTAGATGGTCCAGGTCTCAGTTGGTCAAGGTCTCTGATGGTCCTGGTCTCAGATGTCCTGGTCTCTGNGATGTCCTGGTCTCTGTTGGTCCTGATCTTAGATGGTCCAGGTCTCAGTTGGTCAAGGTCTCTGATGGTCCTGGTCTCAGATGTCCTGGTCTCTGGTGGTCCTGATCTCAGATGGTCCAGGTCTCTGATGGTCCTGGTCTCTGGTGGTCACATGATCAGCTGACTGACAGTGTTTGGATGAACTGAACTTTTCTTTCTAATCAAAATAATTAATTTTGAATCAAAAATACTTCTTAAGAATTATTATCGTAGTTTTTATTCATCTATTGTTTAAAACTTTCTTCTGTGTTCTTCTTAGATTGAACAGAAATAACTTTTATGACAGACTCCAGGTAATCCAGAACAGATGTGCAGAACCTCAGGAATGTGTCCAGGTTTATTTGCAGATGACAGTAAAGAACAAAGAGGAACCAGTGGAACCGGTTCAGAGTCTGTTCTCGTGTTGACTCCTCAGGGTTCTCCTGTGTGTTTGGACAGATGTTCTGAGAGGAGACAAACATCTGGACTGCTGCTGCTGGGAAAACACCTCAGGGTGGCCCTACCTGTGGCCCCAGACCCTGAGGCCCCCGGGGGCCCCCAAGGACACAAGCAGAAGCAGGTCAGAATGTTTGTGTGTCTTCAGCTCAGACTCTGATCCAGAACCTGCACCAGGATCTACCTGAACCAAGATCTGCTCATATCTGCAGTTAAAGGGTTAAACCGTGTGTAAACACACACGCACACACACACACACACACACACACACACCTGACCCCGCCCCTCCGGAACAGAGACTCTCCGGGAAGTTTCTTCAGTTCAGTCCGGAGCCGAACTCAGGGACCGGGTCCAGACCGTAATCCACCCGAGTCATCTGGTCCTGCCTCAGAGGACACGCTGACCCGGGACAGTTCGGGTCTTTTTAACTCTTTACTCGCTCGGATCCGGACGCGCGGTGGTTTTACGCGTCTCCAGGTCGGTTCCGTTGGACCATGAATCCGGTGTAAGATCTGATCGAGTTCTCGTCATGGACCCGGTTCAGCTGCTGCTGCTGCTGCTGCTGCTGATGATGATGATGAAGGTGAGCTCTGATCATTGATTAGTTTCTAAAATCATCAATTCTTTAATGGAGTTCTGGGTGAAAATAAATGAATCCGTTTGTCCACAGAGATCTGGTCTTGATCTGGTTCTGGTCTCTGGAGAGTTTCCATTACAAAAACAAGAAATAAGTTTAATTAATTCAAATGTTCAAAGTTGTTTTACTCAACAGATCAGAAATAAATTATACAACAAGAAACATGTTCCTCACGTGTTCCTGACGTGTCCCTCACATGTTCTGCAGGTTCTGTATGTGAGAACAAATGTCTGGGTCAGTGTCTCTGGACATTTTCTGGAACTTTTCCTGCAGCCTCTAGTAAAACATCTGGAAAATGTCAGAGTGAGTCCATGTGTGAAAACAGCAGGAAAATGTCCAAACTCTATTTTCTAGAATTCATGTGTGAACACATCTTGAGTCGTCGGGTTTGAGTTGGTTGTAGTTTGTATCTTCACCACTAGATGTCATTTAATAACTTGCTTGACATCTTCAAGTGTCGGTAACGTAGACAAGTGCACTTTATGTTCACATGCACCTGAAGACTTCACTAATCCTTCAGAGTTGTAACTTCACGTAATGATGATCATCATGAACGTTTTAGCGCCACCTCTGGTCAGAGTGTTCCTGTTGCTTCACATGTGTTTGACACATTTCACATCTGTATGAGATCAGCCACGGAACCACTGAACCACTGTCCCACTGAACCACTGTCCCACTGAAACACTGTCCCACTGAACCACTGTCCCACTGAATGTCCCACTGAATGTCCCACTGAACCACTGGTCCCATACACCCCTGGTATTAACATGTGGTTTTTGTGATCCCATCTCAAGTGAATGCTTTACGTTCCTGTACTTATGTCTTTGTGAGGACCATTTGAAGCATAGACCGACAGAGTGAGGACATTTTGTCCTCACTTCTTCAGAGGCTGTTTGAGGGTTCAGACTTAAGGGTCATTTAGTTGTGATGGTTAAGGTTAGGACTGTGTGTGTGTGTGTGTTGTGGATCAGTGTTGATGTTGATCATCACACGTTAACACCACGTTATTACCATGTTATTTCCACGTGTTATTACCATGTTATTACCATGTTATTACCATGTGTTAACACCACGTTATTACCATGTTATTTCCACGTGTTATTACCACGTTATTACCACGTGTTAACACCACGTTATTACCATGTGTTATTACCACGTTATTACCATGTTATTACCACGTGTTATTACCATGTTATTACCATGTTATTACCATGTTATTACCACGTGTTAACACCACGTTATTACCATGTTATTACCACGTGTTATTACCACGTTATTACCATGTTATTACCACGTGTTATTACC